TTTTTTTTGGTTGAAATGTATCAAAAGTTCTGCTTTGAAATATTAATTGACTTTTTTTAAGTTTCCGAATCAAAATAACACATCACTAAAATGTTGGTTATAAACATGTTAAAATGTAATAGAGGAAATATTTTATTTTAATGTTATTTAAAAAATTAATACATTAGTATTAAATTAATAACTTCCTAAATTAACAAATTAAAAATAAATTGATCTGAAAATTGTCAAACACTGATAAGCTGCCAAACTTAGTAAGCACAGTAAAAGAAACTACTCCCAAAAAGGGAACAACTTGTTTTCGATATAATAAAGAGAAAGCATTTAAGCACTTTAATCAATAAGATTTGGTTACAAATCGCCAAACTAGCATAATCTTTAGATTCTTCACAAAAATAGCAAAATTTGTAAAAAATGAATTTCACATTTAAGATTACAAAATTAAGCAGTTTTCTTAAAAATTATGAAAAAAATTATAAAAGTAAGCATATATGACATTACTGTCCATTTCTAGTTTCACTGTTCCTAAAGTTATGTAAAAAAAAAAAAAAAAAAAAAAAAAAAAAAAAAAAAAAAAAAAAAGAAGCGTTATATTACTACTTTTTAAATACTTTTTAAATTATTTGTTTATATATAAAATCAAAATTTACTACTGTATCTTTAAGTTCTTTACTGCTAGTCAAATTCAGTTACTCAAGACATGATCCATGTTCCTAAACATGATTCTTATCACTAAGAACAAGTGATAAGAACACTTGTTCTTAGTGATAATCACTAAGACACACTCATTTTAATAATTACAATATTAATTTTGTCACTTTTTTGTTAATTTCATCCCATTGATCAATTTCTTAAGGTTATCATAAAGCTTCTTCTAAGATTTTCTTAATTTAAGGTGCAACCTTAAAATTTTATTTATCAATGAAAATTTAATTGTAGTAAACCTAGCCCCCCCCAAAAAAAAAACTATATGAAACAAACATAGTCTTAAAAAATGCAAGCAGAAAATAAAAAGAACAGTTATAAACAATTATATCATAACAATTATAAACAGAACTTCTTTAAAAACTTTCTTTCCTTTTTCAAGATATTTAAAGACATACTGGCAGCTATGAAGAACAAACGCAAAAGAATTTATTATAAATCAGCATTTCTTAAATTGTCGATCACAATCCCAATTTAAATACATAAATTAAAAAAAAAATAAAAATAGTTAGAATCTTTTCATTATCTTTAATATATTACATTCTGTGTACAGCACATTTATAAAATAGAAATACTGGTCAAAGTGAACCATGGATACATATATATATTGAATAATATCACTAACTAATAAACACAATAATAGCAGAGTGAAATTGCACTTTCAGCTTGTACGTTATTTCAAAATCAAAATATGCTGCTAACGCCCAGTACTTAATGTCCTGTGTCCCACAGGTGTATCAAGCATAAAACTGGTATTACAGGGCTAGTATAGTGATAATACTTTTCTGGTATATTCAATAATTTCTGCTTTAATATAATAAGTATACATCAAAAGAACAATACAGACTAGTATTTTACTGTTTTATTTTATTATGGTTGGTATTTATTTAAATAATAATTATGATAGATGTTATTTTATTTATATTTTAGGATAAAAAATATTTTTTACCAATGAATAAATGGCTGAACTTGAGTGGTAAAGATAATGATGCAGATGGCAATGCTACAAAGTCTCTTCAAATAGGGCCAGCGATCAGAAGGAGGCATTTAAGATGTGAAAAAGGAAATATATTGAGATATTTCTTCACTTTGGCTTTATATTCAACAACTGCTATGCCAAAGAAGTACCTATTTGTTTAATCCACAATACTGTTTTGGCTGTAGAGTGCATGAAACCATCAAAATTAAAAAGGTACCTTGAATCTAAGCTTCCTTCATATTAATAAACCAAAGGAGTATTTTGGACTGTTGAAATCTTCAAAAAAGCAAAGCAAAATCTTGAGAAATTTATGACTGTTAAACATAAAACAAGTATTTACTTGCATCACACAAAGTTTCCTATCTCACCACCAAAAATAAAAAGGCCACATATTATTGAAGATCTTGTGTTACCTGTTGCTATTGAAATGGTAGAAATACTTCACAGAACTAAACATGATAACGGAATTCAGAAATTCTTTTGTCAAATAATACTGTCATCAATAAAATTTCTGAAATTAGCAATGACCAATTTGGGCACCTTATTACTGGACTTTGAGAATGACCAAAATTTAACAATTTAGTTGGGTGAAACAACCGATATTTTAGAAATAGCTCACTTGTTAGTATATATCAGATACGTTTATAAAGAAAGCATCAATGAAGAATTCAAAGGACCTACAAGAGGAGAAGACATACAGAGTAAAGTTGACATTATTATTTTAATAAAGGTTTCACATGCAAAAATTGCACTAGTGTATGAAAAGATATGATGGGTGAAATTATTGATTTTAAGTAATTTATTAAAGCTAGTGGTAATGATCGTGTAAACTTTACACCCTGCCTGATCCACTGAAAGGCTTTGCAGCAAAAAAAGCAATGGAATTGAATTATATGCTTCGGTATGCTGTCAAATATGAACTTTATTAAAAAAGTCCCCCCCCCTTTCTTCTCCAAATATCTGTACAGACATGGATTCTAAATATAAGATATACACTGGTGTGCAAAAATTAAGGACGAAGTCGAAAAATTAGCATATCAGCTGAACGAAGAGGCAGAGCGGACAGAAAGACCAATCAGGAGATTAAGTAAGGTGATGTACGGTAGCACCGCGCAGATATGCAGGTAGACGTAATGGGGGAGTGTCTGAGTATATAAAGCATGTTGTCGGTGTAAGATCGTATTCTGGCAAAGGATTGCATGCCGTATAGCAGTTAAAATCACACCGAGTTGCTGCCTCAGCGAGAAATGGCGAATAATCAATCTGTTAGACGACATCTGGATGCTTTTACCCGAGTCGAATCTTGGGAATTGGAAAAGAAAGAAAGGCCGCAGTTGACAAGTGTGGGCTGCAGAGTCGGAATTGCTCACAGCATCGTTTCATGACGAGACAATTTTCAAACTACGGAACAGCTATCCGGGGTTTAATAGTGGTCGTCCACGAGGAATCACATCCCAGGATGACCAGTATATTGCCTTACAGGCCAGAAGAAACAGGCGGCAGACAGCGGGAGAAATCGCTAGACACACGACACAGGCGACTGAACGCTGATAATCGCGTTTTACCGTGGCCAGAAGATTGCACGGTGTGGTCTGTTTGCACGACGCCCTTGTACGGGTGTACCTCTAACGCCTGCCCATCGAGAAGGAAAGGCGTTCTCTGTGGTGTCGGGAACACCGGAATTGGAGAGACAATGAATGGGGACGAGTACTCTTTACAGATGAGGAGCGATTCGTTGAGTAGCGATTCTCATCCCATACTCATCTGGAGAGAGCGGGGAAGCCGTAATCATCCCTCGAACATCATTGAAAGGGACAGGTATGGAGGTGGCGGTGTTCTCGTTTGGGGAGGCATCATGCTTGGTAGTCATACAGACCTTCACATCTTTGATGCAGGTTCAGTCAACGGGACCCGTTATTGTAACGAGATTCTTCTTCCATATGTGCGTCTTTTTAGAGGCGCTATGGGTCCGCAGTTCCTTTTCACCATATCATCGCACCATATCATCGCACAGTAGCTGCCAAACAGCTCTTAGAGAGTGAGGATATTGAACATATGGATTGGCCGGCACGATCTCCGGATCTCAATCCCATCGAGCATGTATGGGATTTTCTAGGCAGATGCTTGGCAGCTCGTACCTACCATCAGTAACAATTCCGGGCTTCGATTGGCTCTGCAAGACAACGCGAATGGGCGCAATGCTCAACAACTCATTGACATCCTCATTCTCAGCATGGGCAGACGCTTGAAACCTGCCTAGCAGTCAGGGGAGATCATATCCCCTATTAAAGACCGGATGTTTCTTGCTGGACACCCATCACAGGGATGTTTCGGCCTTCAGTCGCATTGCGCTCCATGCTACTTTTTCAATAAAGCTTCTTTTGATCCCTCTGATTTCTCTTCCTCTGATTTAGTAAGTGTTGCTTACATTACTCATGTCCTTACGTATTGGGGATTTTACAATATTAAATGTGTTGATTTGGAAAGCTTTTGTACAAAGTTATATTGAAAAAACTGTCTCGTCCTTAATTTTTGCACACCAGTGTATACACACAGATTTAAGATGAATATCAAGGGGACAAAAGTTTAAATTATTGTCATTAAAATATGAAATAATAATATTTTTAACCAAACAAAACTCTGATTTTACTGCTGTTTTTCAAAATGATTTATCCAAGATAAATTTGTTGAGCTTTTGAAAGACTCAAAACTTGAGTTTTCACAAAAATTCTTGAATGAATCCTGGATAGCAGTTAGAGTTATGTCATGTAAAAATATCGTTAAATTGCATTCGATAGAGATCAAAATGGATATTTTTGCTGAAATATGATACCCAGAATCTTTCATGATTATAATACTTCCTTTATTTTGCACAAGAAAGTAATAATACTGAAATCAGCAACCACAGAATCATTTGCTGATGAATGCAAGAAATTCTTAGAGTTAAAAAATATTACCAAAGGAAAAAAAGCACTTCCTTTAAGTATATTTTGAAATATAATTTTTTAATATACATAGACGTATATTAAAAAAAGAAAAGTAAATTTTGCATATTTGGGAACATTCAGTCTACTACGTAGCAAAAAATTATATGACTACTATTAAACATAGTGACAATAACAAAGTAGTATTTTTAAACACAGTGAATAATAATTTTCATAACTAGCACACTCAAATGAGTTTAACTAGGATTTTTTAAGCTCAAAACTGCACAAATTTTAAAAAATTTATTTTCATTTGTGCTATTGATCAACATTAATAATAAAGTAATTAATAAGCTCAATGTGCATGCATGTCAAAGAAGAGAAGCAATAGTTACCAAAAAGTCTCAATAGGTGCTGAGCTCCATATATTAAAGATGGTGCAGCAGGTATTTGATCATAAAGTTGTTGGGGTAACATGCGCCAAGATAATACTTCTTGCAATAAGCCAGAATTATTAATTAAATGATACTGCTGGTCTTCTAAAATAGGACTAGACATAGTTGAATGAGTAGATGAGTTAGACGAACTGATGCAATTAGATGCTAATGACAATGATGGAGGGGCTTGGCTATAACGATGACCTGATGTTGAACAATTTGATACAGTTTTCTCACTTGTAGTAGGCCGTACTGCCGGTGATATAAATGTAGAATTAGATATTTGTGGGGGAGAATTCTGTATCGATTTTCTCGTTATTCGTAGAGGATTTGTGGGCTCCAGTACTGGTTCCGATTCAGACTGGGCAGAAGAACAGTCTGTTTTAATTTGAACTGGCGGTTCTGTATTTGAATTAGTTTCTTCATTGGCAGCAGGCTTCTGCTTATCACTTGATCTTAATATTCTTGTGCAAGAGTTCTTTGGTCTTCCTCCTAAATAAATAAATAAAGGACGAATTACGAATTTTATACTTCAACTTTGCACACATAAATGAATTCACTTCATAAACACATACTAGTTGGCTTCTTGAGAGATTTTTCCTTGTCTGTTGTCAACTGAATTTGAGGTCTGAGATCCAGATTTCCATTTACTTCTGCTTTTGGAGACTGGCTACCTTTTGCTGGTTGATGTCTCAAGCTCAATCTAGCTCTTTGAGGTCGATTCTGAACAGAACATTCTAATTCAGTTTTAGATGTTAGATCTTTATTTGTAACAAGTGAATTATCAGATACAATATTATTATCATCATTTTCTGACTTTATTGATGGTTTCTGTTCAATCTTAATTGCATCTCTAAAATAAAAGAATTTAAAAAGCAAGAATGAATTAAGTATTGTAACACAATTATAATGAATATAACACTTTAAAACTTAGCCTGATTACTTCAAATGGAAGAGAAATACACCAATGTAAAATTTTAAATTGGGTAGGGGGGAAATTATTGAGAGAGGTCAGATTTTAACGACTGACCAAAAGGGCTTTTTTAAAGTTTAATATGGTTCATCTGAGATGAGATTATCAATAGAGATGGTCCAGGTAGCACAGTGAAACATTTTATAGGATGTTAGATGATAGTGAATATATACTTAACCTAACATGGGAACATTAAATATCTTCTCTCTATTTGAAAATTAAAAATATATATAATAAAATTCTATAAAAATATTTAATTAGATATGGCATGAATTAAATGCATTTTTTGTTTAAATGAATCACATTGACAAGCAAAAAAATAACACTCTTAAGAATTGCCTTTACGGATTTTAAATAGCTCAGTTAGGTTTGTTAATCAATAACAGACAGAATAAATTTTAAAAACAAATGTCTTACATTCTGCTACATAACTAGAGACTTGAATGAGAAGTGAAATGAAGTATTGGTGGGCAACACAAAATTATGTTTAGCTTAACAGCCCTTTTGGGCTGAAAAAAAAGTGAGCTTCTGAAGATGGGATTTGTGCTTGGTTACCCTCAAAACTGATATAGTTTTATTAAGAATCTATGCCAAACGAAGGGGGATTTTTTTTTTTTTTTTTTTTTTTTTTTTTTTTTTTTTTTTGCCTAGTGCTAAAGGCCTTACAACTTATAACTGTTATGCAAAGTATACTTATAGCTTCTAATTAAAATTTTTCAATAAATTTCATTTTACAATACTTTTTTTGTTTTTGTTTTTGTTTATGTGAGCTCAAACAAAATAGTAACTAATTCATTGCTAGTTGCTATTCCTCTATCGAATCTGTGCATACTTGTTTGTATTTTATGATAACCAAAGAGACTGCAAGTAGTTGGATTTAAAAAAAAAAAAAAAAAAAAAAAAAAAAAAATTAAAAAACAGTTTTCTTAGCTAAAACTGACTGGAAAATTCTAAACATGCCTTAATTTTAAAAGAAAGCACAGTGCAATGTCACCCATGGTCACAACACATTTGTAGAATGGTAAAAAACTGCTTTAAATTTCACCTGCATATACAGTTTAAGCGTTTGACTGTTAAGCAATTCTTACAAGAATGTACGAAAACTGCGGGAGATGTTTTGACTTGATGTTGTCTATTGACTTATATTTTATTATAATTATATTTTGACTTGATGATGGAGCAAAAAAGACACACTGAAACTCGCAGCATAAAAGCACTGCGTCGCAGTTTCGAGACAAATGAACGCAGTGCTTTTGCGCCGCGTAGCAGTCAAACGGTTAAAGCATGCATTGTAATAAAAACTTGTATTCCCTTGTTAAAGCATAAGCTTTTGGTGACACCTAAAATTTGCAAGTTACAGTCACAAGAATAAGTTTGCAAATTTCAGTGACTAAATATATTAGCCACTTTAAAAGGGAAGTACCAAAAACTGAGTAGCAAGTCTTAAAATTGGAAGTACTAAGTGGCATATATAAAGTGGCATGTAATTGTTTCTTTAAAATTTTTTAAATATAGTATTTGGAATGACAAGTCCCTCTATGTGTTAAAAAACATTCCATATATGAACAAACTGAATCAATCAGAGGCTTCATTTAATCAGAGTACAGCTGATGAAATATGAATAAATTTTCAAAAAAGCTGCTCATGAAATTATTTATTAAAAATTAATAAAAGAGTAGAAAAGGAATTAAAATAAAGAAGGTGACAGAACATTCAAGGTAAATGATAAGTTCATAGATACTTCAATCACGTTTGTGTTTTTATCAATTCGAATGGAAAAATTATGACAATTATTCTGAAGTTTTGTTAACATTAAGCTATTTTACATCACAAAAGTTATAAAATATGTATATGACTAAAGTTTTATAATTTCACTTACATTTTCAATTCTTTGGATTATGTGTTCTTTCGTTAAAGGTAAAATTTTACATTGTACCAATAGACAACTTCTAATAAAATCGTTGTTCAATAGAAATTGCTGTTCCTTTTTCTTGGAAAACCTTGCAAAGTGCACTGGCTGATTCGAAAAATACTATGTGGAAGATAATAAGCCTGGTTTTCGGCTGTTGGTCTCAAATTTCGTTCGAAAACCAGTGCGAATCAAGAAATGAGATCTACATCTACATGACATGATATTGTAAATTCTACTAGCAGACTTAGTCAATTTAACGAATAACATTAAATACAATCACTGGATTCAAGTCAGGGTTCGTACACATTTCCTTACGTGAAAATTAAGGACTTTTCAGGACTTTTAAGGACCATCAAAGAAAAAATTAAGGAGCTATCAAAAAAAAAAAAAAAAAAAAAGCAATTATCCATACAACAGACTTCATGCTTGTAATTTCACTTTAAGAAAGTAACAGAAGTGTGTATTATGCACTAGTATTAAATTCAATTTAATACTTAACATAAAACAATTTTGAAAATTAAACTAACTCCCTACAAGCTATGAAGTTGATAACATTAAATTAGGAACATAGTTTCTTAAAAAACATGTATAAGTGCATTTTGCACTAATAACAGTCACAGATATTTTAGAGATTTACATGATTATTATTAACTTATTCAATATTTATTTAAACACAGTCAACTACTATTATAATCACAATGTATCAAAGAATATTTTGCAGATTAAAATAACTGATTTGTAAACATACAATTTATTTCCTTGGTTTTTTGAAAGATACTAGAATAATAAACTGTACAATAAAAGATACAAAACATTATACTTTTTTTTAAATCTGAAATCTTTTTCAGCTATTTTAACATCTAATTTATTTATGTCTATTTCCTTTTCTTTAACTATTCTTCTAAGTTCATTTGCTTTGATAAACAAATCAATGTTCATGCTGGTCTCGACTTCATCTGCTAAAGCATCTACTTCTTCATTAATATCTTTAATGTCTCTTTGAAGAATTTTTTCTTCTGCTTCATATAATCAATTTTCTTCCTCAATGAATATTTCGTTTCCTCTTTGAATTTTCAGATTTAGTTAAAGATTTTTGTTCTTCTAAATACTGCATATATTTAGACCTTGCAGAAGCTGCTGCTGATCTCATTTCTTTATTAATTTCGATATTAAGAACAACTCCAGAAAATTTTATGTAATCAAATACTGTGCGTTGAAAAATGTATGATGAGTCACTTAAATTTTCAATTTCAATTGCTTTATTTACAGAGAAGCCCCTTTCCACAGAGGCCTGTCCATGTGACAAGATAAGAATCATTTTCACTATTTTCCATAAATTTGAATAGTGAAAATCATGAAAATAAGAAGTGAGAAATGTGTCAAGAGAAAGATTTTGAGGATCAAAAGTAGAAAATTCATGTAAATTTGTCTTAACTACTTTGTCTAGAAACTCTCCAAACTGCAGCAGAATTTCATCCCAATCATCTTGTAAAACACGTTTATTCTGCATTAATACCGTTAGAACTATTTTCATTTTGTTCTGGGCTTTTTCTGGAGTTTTAACCATCAACCGTGGGTCTATACAAGATGCATTTCGAAATAAGAGAATAATTTATTGGACACTATTGTTAAGACACATTGTTGACTTGTTTCAATGCAAAACTTTCAGCTTGTGAAAATGTCCTTCTTGCGGCATTTATCATTCATTAACTGCTCAGCAATGAATCCCAAATAAACTTTACTTTATCATTATATTATAACAATTTGGATCATTTGGATCTTAAAATTAAATTTATAAGATTTTCTGCTTTAGTTATTTTTGAATATTCTAGTTTTCAAAATTTTAAAGTGCTGAAGGCAATCATTTACAAGTTTTAAGATATCTTCAGCAAAAAAGGGAATAAGTGTAAGTTTATCACTTTGATAATATTCAAGGAAAGGCAATAAATATTTTCGACAGAGAGAGAAAAAAATTTAATTTTATAAGAAATGTTTTAGCTTTTAGCTCTGCCTCCAAAATATTTGAGAAGGATTTCGATGAATTTTTTTTTAAACTTCCCCATTTCAACTTTTTTAATGTACAGTAGCAAGTCATCCCATATTTCAATGGCTCTTTCAACTGCTGGGACATTTTGCAACCATCGGTAAAAGCAGCACTTCACAGGTAAGCTTTTTTAAGCCAGATATACTTAAAAAAATCTTCACGTCTTGCAGGAGAATCTTTAAAAATCCAATATAAGGAGGATAAGAATGATGGAAATGTCCCAGCCAGTGGATGACATCCCATGCTTGAAAGCATTGTTAAGAATGTGTAAACCACATGTCCCTAATGTCAAGCATTGAATGTTATATTCCTTTGTCAAGTCCTGTTGCAATAAATCATAAAATTTCCAGTTTACTGCAGGACCATCCATTGATATTTGTAAGAGTTTTGACAAGTCTAGTTTTTCAACACATTCATAAAATTTGGATAAAATAATTTCACTTGTTGCATGCCCTTAAATGCAGAAGTAAGGTACTGAGTTCTGACCTTATTTTCCTGATGATGCCAGTACCTCATATAATATCTAGTTGCTTCTTTTGATTTGTCAGATTAAGAGTCTCATCAAATAGTAATGTAAAAAAAAACTCAGCATTTTTACAATGCTTTAGTAACAAAGTTTATTTAAAATAAGGGCCAAGACCAAAATAACAGATATAAGCACATTTCTTTTCACCACATGAAAACTATTTTGCAATGGAACTATCCGGGAACATTTTAGTGAATAACGGCCCAATATCATCGCACGATTTAAAAGAATAGTGGCTTTTGATGCACTTAAAAGCCCACAATATTTCTGCATCTGTAACTTCAGATTTGAAAAGAAAAAGAATTGATTTTATTATTTTCTACACTTATTGATGTTGAATTCGCAGTTACAATCTTTTCCTGAAGTAGATGGTTCTTCTAACTTGACAAAATTCATGA